GGGGGGCGGGTGGAGGTGCCGGACCCGGCGGGGCCCGCGCGGCGGGCTTCCAGCCCCGAGGCTGGGCGGAGAGGACAGGCTGAGGGGCTGGGGCGTTTAGAGCGCGCGGCGCGCAGTTGGTGCGATTGAAAAAATAAAGCCAGCGAATTCGCTCCTGGAGTAGGACCGCTCTGGACTTGGGTGCTTTGCTCCAGGATCTTCCCGCGGGTCCCGGAGGCCGAGGGGTCGGCAAGAGACGCTGCCTCCGGGGCCCAGGCTTTTCAGCCTGCTGTGGACCAAACCGTCTGCACTTAACCAAACTAACTGCGCCACGCGCCGGCGGCGCGCAGGCTGGGCTCGGGCATGGGGACCGCTAGGCTCCAGCATCCCGACACCCTGAATGTCTCCCCCGCCTCGGGGATTTGTCTCTGTTGCAGCTGGCAGTGGCCGCCTGAAGTGGGAGCAGCGCCTGCAGAAGGCGGGAGGAGCCGGGCCGGCGGACGCGCGGCGGGAGAGCGGGACCCCGGCGGGCGGTGTGCTGCAGGGCGCAGTGGCCGCTGACCGAGCCCCAGGCGCGGCAGGAGGTGGTGGGAGCCGGCGGCCGCGAGGCATCATGCGGCGAGGGGGGCTGCTGGAGATCGCCCTGGGATTTACCGTGCTCTTAGCGTCCTACACGAGCCATGGGGCGGATACCAATTTGGAGGCTGGAAACGTGAAGGAAACCAGAGCCAGCCGGGCCAAGAGAAGAGGCGGTGGCGGAGGACACGACGCGCTAAAAGGGTAATGGCACGGGTCAGCTCCTTGGGGTGGGTCTCCCTTCCCTCTTCTAACGAGTTTCAAGATCCAGAGCAACTGACAGGGTTGGATCTCGATGCCAGTAGGATCCTCGTTAAGACCTCCTGGGGACCTCTTAGAGGTGCTAGGGCTGCAGGGCCACCACCTCGCTCCTACTCCTGAGGACATCTGGCCCAGAGGCGAGGGCATGGCTGAAAGGAATCTTGGGCCATTGTTGAGGCCAATTTCGGGAGGCAAGAAGGGTTCCTTGAGGGAAGAAGGGGAGGGGCTGCGACGGAGAAAGGTCCATTCCTTTCTCCTCAAACCAGTTCCGGTGGGGTCCAGGGGGAAGTACTCCCCTTGGGGGCATCTTTGCATCTGCTGGTAAGGGAGGAAGGAGAGGATTCCATGGACAGGGAAGATAGGGTTAGGAGTTGGCCGTCTCGTACATTAGGCTTAGCAAACGTAGAGACTACTCTCCGGGCGATCCTCAGGGCCAGTGTGTCTAAGAACTTGCTTTTGGGTCCCCTGGCGCTCCTGTCTCCCTGCAGCCGCGATGCTGTGGCCGCCCTTCGGCGGATGTTTTTAAGCAGTCATGTGGGTGCTTTGGGCATGCAGTGGACAAGCTCATCGACTTCCCATGCCCTTAGCACATGAAGTGTCTGAGCGGAGAAATTTCAATTAAGCAGGTGGGCTAAGGGCTGTCAGTTCCTTGAATGGAAAGAGGGCAGAGATCACACAGCCTGAACTATTTTTCAGGTCCAAAGGGAGAATCTGAGTGATTAAATCCAAACCTCCATAGAAACAGCAGGATGGACTCCTTTTAGGAGGAACCTGTGAAATGAACCCAGACAATAAATATACAGAGGTTTTCTATTTAATTCTTATAGTGCCCACTGATACCCTTCTCTCAAGTGTTTCTGTAGCTAGATGACATGGCCCTGGGTGACCAAGTAAGTGATGGCATCCATGCAGATGGGTGGCTGAACATTACTTTAAAAATTTTTTTTAATTAATTTTTTTTTTTTTTTTTTTGCTATGGGCTGCTTTCATTGTATATAGATAGTGAAGTTTGTGTTTTGGTGGCTCAGCGGTGAGAAGAAAAGGTACAGTAGATAGGACAGACTAGTGTTTGAGTCCCAGTCTAGACTGGGTGTAAATGGCTGTCAGGACCAAGCACTTAGGCAGTCCTAAAGTATGTATGATTTTTTCCAACCCCAGAAGGTAGATGTAATGAAGTTAGCACCCTCTTGAGCTTTGTGGAAAATGAACCCAGGCTTCTAATAGCGTTGGAAAGGAAATTTGCTTATCATGGTAAGCCCGATCCTGATCAGGGAGCAGCCGCTTATTGCTGTGCGTGCGAGGCACACGGCAAATGCAATAAATGGATCAGAACTCTGATAGACATTCTCCAGAGGGCCTTCGTAGACCCGGTCTGCTGAACAATACTACATTCATCTATTTGGATGGCATTGCTCCTATATATAGCAACACTGAGTTCAATTCTGTGGATGAATCTGCAGGGAGAAGTTAGGCCAACCAGACATTTATCTCATCTCTGTGCTGACACCAACTAGTGTGTCCTTTGGGAAGCACAGATCCAGTATGCAAACAGAAATTCACATTGTTGTTCAATACAATGCCACACCTTGCTCACCCCAGCAATTATTTCTGTTAGGTCATACTTTTTATTTTATTTTTAAAAATGATTAAGGAAGACACCTCTCTGTTCCTCATACTATTTGGTCACTAACATAGATCTTATCTTATTGCAAACTGTTTATAAAGGCTTCCTGAAACCATAGACTAGTAATTGAGTGTTCCTAATTCTTAGGCTGTCTGTAAGGTTTTTAAAAATTTATGTGTATTTGTGTGTGCGTGTGTGTATACATATATGTACATATATATGTATGTGTGTATATATATATATGTATATATATGTATAGGAATAGTCATGACATACTTTTCTGGGTTCTCCTGTGCAAAAAATGTGTCATGAGTTTTTTGATGACCCAATATATATATATTTTTATTTTGGGAGAGAGATGAAAATAATTTAAAAGGATGTACAATGAAAGTATTTTCCTCCTACCTGTTAGAGACCATTTTCTTGTGTATTTAGAAATATTATAAGCATGTATATAAACACAAACACATGTATATACATCTACAATATATACATGTTAATATCTGTATGCATATTACATGTATTCATGTATGCTCTGTAATACATGGAATACACATACTATATGTAAGGTTTGGAATGTGACTCACTTTCATTCATGTATATGTACCTACCCTTTCGCGTTTTCTTGGTGTATAGAATCTCATGTTGTGGCCTGAACAGGTCTCCTAATGGTGGCTCTTTATGTTAAATCTTTTGCTATTACCAATATTCTTCTACATACATGTGTGCACATGTTCAAGTTGCTATGTAGTATAAACTACTAAAAGTAGAATTTTTTTTTTTTTTTTGAGAGATTTTCACTACAGGGCGCGTGCGCTCGCCAGACAGACAGAGAGAGACATTAGAGACAGAAAGTGAGAAATCACCCCCCAGGGGGGATGGTCACGCCGCAATCTCTTCTCCTCCATTCTCCTCTCAGGATCTTGGGCACGCACGCACACGCGCCCGGCCTGGGTTTTAAGCCACCGGGTCCGGGACGTGAACCGCAGTCGACTACGTGGGAGTCCAGCGACATAGCTATTACGCTAACTGCTGGTTCCCTAAAAGTAGAATTGTTTAATCAAACGTTTTCCTATAGATTTTAAACCAATACTGATTCCAATGTCAAATTTGAATAGCACTTAAAATTTATTCTCTCTGCTTATTGCCATTACAGTCTCACATGAATAAGTCTTTTAACCATGCCCTGCTGTATAAATCATCAGGGAAAGAAGTTATGTATTACATTTTTCCAGTTATTACTTAAAATTTCTGTTTTTGCTCGTTAAAATATTACCAGCTTCAAAACTAACCTCTTTGACTACAGTGAAACCTATTTACCATTTTGATGGAAATGCAGTTTATGAAGTGAAAGTGATTTGTAACCCCTGAGTCTGCCTGTTGCCCAGCTGGTGGCAGCAACTTTCAGCACCTCACTCATATTTCCTCTAGCTAAAAGGTGCTTTAAACCCCTCAGTGTCTGCTGGGCCCTGGACTAATCTCCCCCACAAACGCTGCCTTCTTGCTTTTTTTGATGTGGCAGGTGGCTACAGAATTTGCCTTAGAGTTCTTCTTAAGATGCACATTCTTCCCCTGTCAGCTCACTCTTTGCAGACTAGGAACCTGCTTCTCTTGCCCTCCCTGGACACGTCGTCTTAGCGTGTCTTCTTTTCCTCCCATTCTGTCACAGGTGTCTTTTTTTTTTCCCCCCTCCCCACTGGGCAGCTAAAATTATTCCACAGTGGAAAGTTAAGCATCCTCAAGTTTCTTCCCAGTTTTTGCTGTGTTTTCTTAGAGTAAATCACCAATTTCTGTTTTTACAGGAAATCCCTTATTTTTTAATGGAATGAGTGTGGTCCCCATTCACTTTGCAAAAGAATGTATTTTCCTCTATTGCCAAATGAGAATTTTGGGAGTTTCAAAAATATTTTCAAATAGTAAATGTATAGTAGTTTTTCTTTGCCTGGGCATGGTTAACATGTGTGAAAGGGCTTTATGGGAAATAATAACATTCGAACTTTGTTTGAATTTCAGTTCACAAGAATTTTTCTCGGCTAAATTCTAAACTTCTGTGATTAGGTCAAAAGTATGGGAAACAGTCCAAAACACACACATGTGTGCATGTACACAGATGTATGTGTGTGTATACATATCTACATACTTACATGCTCGTGTATGTATGTGCGCGTGTATATATATTTGAATAGCAGTAGTTATATCCCATTTATTTATGATTGCCTATTGCTTTATCTCCCAAATAAGGAAATATTACTGTTTCCTGTCACAGGGAAAAAATTTCTTTATAGTGAGACCTCCTTTTCCCAATTCTCTGATAAGATGGATTGAGACTGCTGTCCTTATGGCCTGGTTTATAAGTATATGAGACCGGTTGTATTTCACACAATCTCTCCCCTTGTGTGTGATTCCTTTTGGTCTTTGTTTGTTTATTTTTTCCAGAGGACTTGTTGCCAGAAAAATACACATGGAACAGTTTGTACACAGGGTAGATTATGTGACGGCAAACTCTAAGGGATTAATTACACAGAAGTCTGTTATTAAAATAAAGAACTTTAACAGGGAACACAGAAAGAATTCTGTAGACTTTATAAAGTCATTTCACTTTACAAAGAGGACTTTTAGACTTCATCTGAAGTCAGATGGGCTAATAATTAAATATGGGGAAAGACTCCTGAAGTTATGTGGTTTGTCTTTGCATTTAAACGAAAAGATCAAGCTAAGATATTGGGGCTTTTTTAAAAAAGATATTCTTAAATAAGACTTCAGCAATTCTATCATCTTGAACAAGAAAGTGGAAACAATATACTCATTTATCTGGCTCACTTTGTAACATTTAAGACATGGAGTCTGTTTACGAAAATGCCTAAGTTGTTGGTAACAAAAGTTAATTAACATATATAAAAGTACAGATATCCCTCAAGCTTACTTGGAATTTTAGAGAATACTGAAAGGCTCTTTTATTGTTTTGTGTATCAGGTACTTTAAATATTATGATATTATGCTAATAACACTTATAAGGAAAATATTAAGAACTATTATTTATGTATTACTTTTTAGCTTTTTCCTGTGATTGGCCAAATAATCAGTTTAATCAAGTTGGGAATTGCAGTGGGAAAATAAGACTTTGGAAATGTTTTCTAGAAAGAGAAAGAAACTGTTTTAACCATTATTTTGGTTTGTTTCTAGAAACTAACCCAGCAAATGGACTTTCTTAAGCAACTTAGAATCTTTTCCCATAAATTTCTCTGAGAAACTGAAATAGATAATATATCAGGCCTGAGTAATATGGCAGACATGTGAGAGTTTTATATTTCATGATTGT